CCCCAAAACCCCAAAACCCCAAAACCCCGAGATCCTCAATTAAATGAACATAGTTAATAAAATGATAGAATCCAATTTAAATTGATATATCAAGAAACTAAATTTCAATAATCTAAATATTTGAGTTGCTCTCAAATTTATTATTCCTTGCCTTACATCTTTACTTTATACTCGGTATTTTGAATTTTAGATTTCATCTGCATCAACTGATTGTCTATCAACTCATACTGAATTTCAAGCTTATTATACTCATCATCGTCCTCTGTATTTTCCATTTAATGATTGATGCTCTCAAGTTTGTCCTCAAGGGAGCTAATGTTCATTCTCATGAGTAGAAGTTCCTGGTTTTAGGGTTATGATTTGTTCATTTTAAATTTTATAAATTAATTCAAATTCAAACTTTAAATTATTTTACTTCACTGTCGGTATAATGCTAAATATTTGATTAAATTTATAATTATACTATTCCTGGCTGCTGCACTCATAAAATTACGCTCATATCTTCATCATGATCCAGATCTTCAAGATCATCTTCACTATCTGATAGCAAATCTAAGCCATTCATCTAGTCCATAGCTCCTGCTTAGCCTGAGAGTTGCATCAGAATACCTTTGTTGATTCTTCTCTTAAGTTTTTTAGCTTTCAGTTCTTCTTTTTTAATCTTGTTTAACAGCTTCTCATTTTTCTGTTTGATATTTTCCTCTTTCTTGCCTTACATCTGGTTAATTAACTGCAATATCAATTACTGCTACTACTGCATTTAATCTTGGATTGTCTATTCATGAAGTCTCTATTACTCATTCTATTGAATCATTTACTAATGCTATTAAAGCATTTGTTGATTCTGAGCCTCAATGATGGGCTATTTCTAAGCATCTAGTTTGTTGTAGTAGTCGTTTCTCTTTTTAATGTTTTGGAATTCCATTATTAGTTTTCGTTTCTTACGTTCTAGTTCTCCTAAATCACGCTTTTGTACTTTTATTGTTTATGTATCTAATATATTCCTTAAATTTGGTTCTCTAATTTAAGAGGGATTATACTTTGGAATTTCTTCAAAAATACTATACTACTATTAATCTAAATCATCATAAATTGGAACAGTTTAATGTTGAACGCTATGATTAAGGTTATGATGATGATCTATGTATTCTAATTGCTAGTTTCTCTAATTTTCAAGTTGCATCATTTTTTATTATTGAAATTAGTCCATCGGCTTTAGCTACTGTTGAAATTGCTATTGATATGGAAGTAATTATTGTACAGAATTACTTAAATTTTGATTGATTATTGGGCTTTAATTGAACCCTGGGTATTAATTCATTTAATTCATCATCCCATTATTCTGCATCATTTATTATTAATAAATCTGTGGTATATTTTGGTATCCTTGCGGTTAAAATTAATTTCCCATAGTATTCTAATCTTATACCCCATTTAGTTTATTTTATAATTCTTAAAGATCTTTAAGTTACCTCATAGGTTCAAGTTGCATTACTTTTATTTGTTCTATTGCCTCTTAGGCTGCTTTTTACTACTCCATAAGCCTCTATTTCTCTTATAATTACTAGAGTTACTGCTGTTAAGCAATTTATTATTATTAATAGTATTGGTAGTATGCTAAATATTGTTAATATTGAGCTTGCTATTGCTCTTATGGATTTTAATTAGTAGCTGATCCATTAGGGCCGCCACCTTTTAATGGAGATAACCCTTAATGTGGCAAAACTTGCTTATTACTTTGAGAATTTTGAATTTATGGATTATTTGGATTATAATTAAAGCCAAATGGGTTAGCTGAAAACCCTTTTTCAAAATTTTGTTTCACCTCCTTACTTTCTGTCAGTTATTAGATAATTTTGTGTTTTTAATCTGCTATTGACAGTGCTTTGTCTAATATTTCTTTTTTCTTTTTGGCTAAAATTGCTGCATCCCTTTGTTAAGTTAAAATAAGAGCTCTTTACACATCATCTTGATAATTATTAATTGGTGCAGCCTGTAAAATGTCAAGAATAAATCAATAATTATACATTTTATGATTATTTCACCTTGAACAAGTCTTCTTTATTCGAACCAATGAAAAATGCCATTAAAAATTACTTTATTAAACCCAACTTATTTTCTAAAAATAATCTAGTCTCATTTTAAAACAGGGGTTTTGGGGTTTTGGGGTTTTGGGG